ATATTTGAATGCTTAGTTCCAAGTTGATGGACTGTTGGGGAAGATTAGGAGATGTGGACTTGTTGGAGTATATGTTTCATTATTGGAGGAGTAGGCTTTGAAATTTCGGTAGCACAGTGTCTTTTTCTCTGTTTGCTGCCTGTGGATCAGGATTTAATGCTCTGAGCTATTTCTCCAGGACTATACCTGCTACCATGCCCATCCCACCACCCCCATCACGATAATAGACTAACTCTGAACCTGCAGCAAGCATCTATTAAAGTGCTTTCTCTTTTAAGAGTTACCTTGTTCATGGTGTCTTTTCACAGCAATAGAACTGTGACTAAGGATGGAGTTGGTGTAAGAAGTGACGTATTGCTGTGACAAGCTTGATCATGTTGTTTGGAGGAATATGAAAGACTTTGGACTAGAAAGAATATTGGGACTTTGGACTAGAAAAATTGATGATGGAAGTTACAAAATAATCCCACACCAGTTCAGAATTATGATAATAAAAGGGTTATTTATTTAACAGAAAAACTTACAGACCACTGTCTTAGGTAACAGTTCTCTGAATGAACAGGAACAGAGTCTAGCAGCTGGAAGCAAGAGAGCAGCAACACTTTTACTACTGCTTTTACAACACCCAAGTGGGCTCTAGCTGCTCATTTACTAACTCTTACATCTAATTTAACCCATCTCCATTAATCTGTGCATCACCATGAGGTCGTGGCCTATCAGCAATTTCAGCACATCTGTCTCCAGCGGCTCCATGGCTTCTCCCTAACTCCTCCTTCTTTCTCCCAGCATCCAGTTTAATTTTCCCCACCTAGCTCTGTTCCCCTATAGCTCTACTATACGCCCAAAGCAGTTCCTTTATTAACCAATGATAAACACGGCATACAGAGGAGAATCCCACATCACAGATTGTCATTATCAAAGTATTGATGCTTCATTAAACAAGTGGGAAAATGTTTCTCAACTATGCTTTTGTGTTACCAAAGATTGAATCACAGATTCAATGCAATGCCCATCAAAATCCTACCAAAATTCTTCACAGACCTCGAAAGAACAGTACTCAACTTCATTTGGAAAAACAAAAAGCCCAGGATAGCCAAAATAATCCTGTACAATAAAAGAACTTCTGGAGGCATCACAATCCTTGTCTTCAAACTCTACTACAGAGCTACAGTACTGAAAACAGCCTGGTACTGGCATAAGAACAGACAGGAGGACCAATGGAACCGAATAGAAGACCTGGATATCAATCCACACATCTTCGAACACCTGATTTTTGACAAAGAAGCAAAAGATATCAAATGGAAAAAAGAAAGCATATTTAACAAGTGGTTCTGGCATAACTGGATATCAACACGTAGAAGAATGAAAATAGACCCATATCTATCACCATGCACAAAACTCAAGTCCAAATAGATCAAAGACCTCAACACAAAGCCAGCCACACTGAACCTTACAGAAAAAGTGGGAAGTACACTTGAATGCATTGGCACAGGAGACCACTTCCTAAATATAACCCCAGCAGCACAGACCCTGAGAGAAACAATTAATAAATGGGACCTCCTGAAACTGAAAAGCTTCTGTAAAGCAAAGGACACGGTCAACAAGACAAAACGACAGCCTACAGAATGGGGAAAGATCTTCACTAACTCCATATCAGACAGAGGTCTGATCTCCAAAATATACAAAGAACTCAAGAAATTGGTCATCAAAAGAACGCATAATCAAATTTAAAAAAAGGAGTACAGACCTAAACAGAGAACTCTCAACAGAGGAATCTAAAATGGCTGAAAGACACTTAAGGAAATGTTCAACATCCTTAGTCATCAAAGAAATTCAAATCAAAACAACTTTTGAGATTCCATCTTAACACCTGTAAGCATGGCCAAGATCAAAAACATTGATGACAACTTATGCTGGAGAGGTTGTGGGGAAAAGGGAATACTCCTGAATTGCTGGTGGGAATGCAAACTGTTACAACCCCTTTGGATGTCAGTGTGGTGATTTCTCAGAAAATTAGGAAACAACCTTCCTCAAGATCCAGTAATAGCCACTTTTGGGTATATATCCAAAGGATGCTCAATTGTGCCACAAAGACATGTGCTCAACTACGTTCATAGCAGCTTTGTTTGTCATAGCCAGAACCTGGAAACAACCTAAATGCCATTTGATTGAAGAATGGATAAGAAAAATATGGTACATTTACACAATGGAGTACTACACAGCAGAAAAAAATAACGACAGCTTGAATTTTGTAGGCAAATGGATGGAACTAGAAAACATCATTTTGAGTGAGGTAACCCAGACACAGAAAGACAATTATCACATGTACTCATTCATAGGTGGTTTTTAAACATAAATCTAAGAAAGCCAGCCTACAAACCACAATCCCAGAGAGCTTAGACAACAACGAGGACACTAAGAGATAGATCTAATCAACATGGGAAGTAGAAAGTATAAAAAGACAAGATCTCCTGAGTAAATTGGGAGCATGGGGACCTTGGGAGAGGTCTGAAGGGGAGAGGGGGAGGCAGGGAGGGGAGCAGAGAAAAATGTAGAGCTTAATAAAAAATATAAACATCAATAAAAAAAGAATTGAATCAGTTTCATAAGTACTAGATCCCTAGCAGCTACCTCTCCAACTTCCCTCATGGGATTTGACTCCTTAATTATAATTGTTTTTATGCATTAAGTAATCTTTTGTGTTTTTCTCCCAGCTGAACTGAAAACTCTTCTAGGGTGTATCTGGTTTTGCTTCATGTTTGCTTTTAATTAATTACTTGGATTAGTAGTAGATCTTTTTTTGATATGCAAGGCCCTGGTTACTCTCCATAGTACCACATGCACAAATGCAGCTCACTTACCTTTTGTATATGCATGCCTACTACACAGTAATAGTAGCTTAGTAAATATTGTCAGAATTAGTCTGTTGGAAGGTGTGGCCTATTCCTTTGCCTGTAAGAGACAAGATGAATGAATGAATCAGTAAGGTTGCTGGTCATGCATTGCAACTGGGCTTTTGCTGAGTCATAGGGAGTGGTAGCCCTTGATGTGTGCTGTGATCAGCAGGCCCTGGTGCCACAGTCATGGTGAGCAAAGAAAGTTTACAGCTGCCTGGGGTGAAACCAACATGTACACCAGGGGTACAGTGTTAAACAAGTCTTGCAGGTGGTAGTGTTCTCTTAGATCTCTTTTAGATGGAAAATAATAAATACAGTGAGGAAGTTGTGATGCAGCCCAGCAGTGTCAGGGTCAGGGTGTTATATCCCACAAGCTTGAAGTTTCACATAGACCACTCTGGGGTCATTTCAACGTACATTCTTCTTATAAGCTCCCTTTTAATTCATATGCATACTTGGAGAAACAGATATTTAGTGTAGGGGATGAAAACAGATGTTTGAGCAATAATATTAGGTTTCTTAAGCTCTGTAACTTCAGAGTGCCCTATTGTCTTTACTTGTAACGATGTCGTATTGCTACTAGTAACTTAGTTCAAGAAGTAAGTGTGTGGGTCACTTGAAGGAAATGAATTAACAGGGTAGTTATGCCACACATAACATGATTTTCCAGAGCATGTTGTAGACATAGTTGAACCACTAGTTCTTGCTGGGACCCTGTAGCATCAGTGATGCTGCAGAATGAGGAAGATGACTTGCTGAAAATGTGAATGGTGGTAGCACGAATAATAATAGCCCAGTGACAGATACTGGGATTCAACCTGAAGATCAAAAAGCAAAGCCACCAACCACTGGCTCTTACCTCCAGCTCAGATCAAAAATGGAGATCTTGTCTCCGCAAATCCTGAAGACTCCACACCCCATATTTCACACTCCACTCAGTTCCCATCTTTTCATATTTATATTTCTCTCTCTGCACAGCCATGTCACTCCCATCTCCACCTTCCTAGTGCTCGGATTAAAGGCGGGTTACCCCAAGTGCTGGGGTCACCTTTATGTGAGCTCTGTTCCTCTTTTAGATTGAGTCAATCTTATGTAGCCCCAGGGTGGCCTTGAACTCACAGAGATCTGTCTCCCAAATCCTGAGATTAAAGGTGTGTGCCACCGCTCCCTGGCCTGTATGGCTGACTGATATGACTGCTCTCTGATCTTCAGGCAACTTTATTTATTAAAACACAAATAATATACCACTATAAATGGTGACAACTTGGGAATTTGTGTTCATTATTCCCCATTATTAACCACTAGACAAAACGAAGAAGCAAATGGGATTCAAATAACTGAATGTCTAAGGTGACTGTGTGGCTTATTGTGGACTTTTTTTCTGTGTGATGTTGCAGGTAGGTTCTCCTAGGTTACTGGGCTTTTAGCCCTTAGTTCAGAATTTCCACCTAAAGCATGGGTGTGGACTAGTTTTGTTTGGTCTATTCCTCTGCTTCTAAAGTCACAGTCACTTACTACCTTTGTGTGATCTGCAGTAATTGTAAAGGGAAGTCTCTTTTTGTATTTCTGGTGCCTCCTTTGCTAGATAAGAGATTTATTGATAAATATGATTGATAGGGTGGAGGAAGAGAGTTCAACACACTAAGAGCTTTCAGGTATTCAGGAATTTCCACTTGCCTAGAGGCCTACGATTAGGGAAAAAGGGAGATAGATAGATAGATAGATAGATAGATAGATAGATAGATAGATAGATAGATAGATGTATATATATATATATATATATATATATATATATATATATATATTTAATTCCATAGCCAATTAGGAATGAGCTGTTTCTCATCTACCATGTCTTCAAATTCATCTGCATGAAATTTGGTGAGGTCTCACTTCTTTGAGATGTTGATCTTCTGGTGGCCAGGGAACGTGAACTTGCCTTTACCCAGCAGCTCAGTCACATGTTCTGTATTCTGCAGCTTGGTGTGGATGGGCATGATGACTTGACTAGTGTGAACTTGGTCATTGTGTCCTTGGGCTTCCCAAAACCCACTGGGGTCTAGACTGGGGACAACAGGAGATCAGAGATGGGAATATCAATCAGAAAGTTTTCTCCAAGGCTCCTGAGAAAATTTAGTACAAGTAATAGGCTGCATACACGACCAGAGAGGCCAGTTTACAGCACTTGCACACCAGGCCCCCACGAGGAAAAGAACCCGATTGGCTTAATTGGCTGCATATACTCTCCTGTAGCATTTATACCCAATGTGGATTGAGTATCAAATCTTCTTACCGTTTTGACTTAGGGCTACCCAACCCTTTTCAAGAAGTGAAAAGAAGTATAGGCAGTAAGACTCCAGTAAGACCATGAGATGTTTCCTGTTGATTCAAGACAGACCCAAAGCAAACAATCCAGCAGCCCCATCCAGGAAGCAGTTGAATTCTTGGCTAAGCCTGACTTCAGCCTGACAGTCTGGTTGAGGATTTAGAGCCCCTGATGCTTGGCTAGTATGCTATTAAGTATGGCCTACATATGTGCCCAGTCCAAATTGGATAAGGCCAGTGACTTTCTGTAAGCATTTGGAAACCTTTATAGCAGCCTTATGGACATATCGTGTTTATTAGCTCTAATGATAGAAACCTAATTCTCAGTTTTGATATTTTTCTTTTTAAGTTCACTTCCCTGGAAAGTCTTCTTTATTGTATTTTATAAAAGCATTGTCCTGGAGTGGAGAGTAGGGTGCTTTAGTGCTTTCTTAGTATGCTAGCATGTGTGAGGCCATAGTTCAACTCTTGCCACCACCACCACCAACAGCATCAGCAACAGCCATGGCCTTGGTGTGTGACAGATTTAAAATTAAAACACAGGTTGGTCCTTTCTCACAAATGGTTTGAGAGTACTGAGTATAAACCAATTTCAAGTCTTTGATTTCCTCTTAAAATTTCATTTCATTTTTTTTTAGATTCATTTATTTTATGTGAATGAATGTTTTGCTTACATGTATGTCTGTGTACCGGGTGCATGTCTGGTGCTAGCAGAGGTCAGAAGAGGTTGTTGGACCCCCTGGGACTGAATTACAGATGGTTGTGAACCACCATGTGGGTGCTGGGTCCTCTTGTAAGAGCAAGTTCTCTTAACTGCAGAGCCATCTCCAGCCTTGAGACAGCTTTTTGAAAAAGTTTTTTTTTTTCCCTTTTAAACTTTTTTTGCAGTGTATAAAAGTAACTGATTCCTGTGGCTGGTTAATACAGAGACGTGTTTAAAGGGGCAACTTGCCAGCATATTCAGGAGGATAGAGGTTGGACACAGATCCTGTGAAAAACCATAGTTCTGTGGAGGGGAAGGTGGAGATCTTTTTCACAAGACACATTCAGAGAATTGGTTTCTCCACTTTAGTTTTTAGCAGAGGTTCAGAAATAAATGCAGAACCATACAAATAAGGCAGAGGGGTTTGTCTGTTGGTAGAAATGGACTACCTAGTGTAACAGAAGACCCATTGGAACTCTCCTTGAGCTCTCCACCAAAGTCTCCAAGAGATCAGGATTTGAGAAGTCTGTATGCTAACAGAAAGACAAACCTACAGATAGATAGAGGCTGCCTGGAAGGAATGATGGTAGAAGTGCTTGTTTGACAGGTTATAGCACTAATACAATTTTGTCAAGTGTTACCATAAGACAAAGGCACATTCTGTCATGGAAAGTGGCCTCTCCTGGTAAGTCTGGATTAGAGCTTATCTTATTTTATTTTATTTTTTTTTAAGGTCTGGCCTTTTTGAAATCCGTTCTGGGCTTGGTTGTGGAGTTTGAGATACAGAGGTGTATAGTTGGAGTGTCCTCCTTTTGGCCTTGCTTTTTCTTGGCCTGTGTGATATTTCCTATGATACCTTCATTACTAATGGTTTCTCTCAACACATTTTATTTTCTTAAAAATGGGATCTGCCGTATTATTCTGGCTGACGTTAAACTCCAGGACTCAAGTGCTTCCTGTTATCCTAATGTAGCTGGGGCTATATTACAAGAAGTACTGTGCCCAGTTGTGCATTGAAGTGCCATACTTGCCCTTTCTCCCTTCCTACCCTTTCCTTCTTGGCTCTGTCTAGACCATGTGTGTTTAATATCACTAGCCTCCATTTTCAACTTGTGGGTTTTTTTTCATGTATAAGCAAATACATTGATTTCTTTCTTTTTTTCGTACAGAGAGTATTCCCCAGCCATCATTTATATTTTGATTTTAAACTTAATAGTATATCCTAATAGTCAATAGTACAGGGATTATGGTTATTTGAATAAGAATGGCCCCATGGGCGTATATATTTGAGTGTGTAGTCACATGGGAGTGGCACTACTTGAGAAAGATAAGGAGGTGTGGTCTTGCTGGAGTAGGTATGACTTCGTTGGAAGTGTGTCACTGGGGGAGGGTTTTGAGGTTAGGATCACTTGAACTCTGTTGCTGTTATGAACAATGTTGTCTCAAACATTCATGGCCAAGTATTTATGTGGATATGTGTTTTCAGTTTCTTGGAAGTACTCTTAGTGGTGGAATTTTCAGGGGTCATGTAGTGGTTCTGTTTAGCCATTTGAGGACCTGTTGGATGGCTTTTATGTTGATTGTGCTGTTTTACATTCCTGCTACCTGAAGCATACAAGGGCTCCTGTTTTCTATATTCTTGCCAACATAGGTAGTATCTTTTGTAAAAAGTAAATTTCTCACAACTTTCTAAAGAGTTTCTAAAATATTAATGGTGTTGATCCTACTTCCTGTGATGTTTATGGCATATATACTTTTATGTTTGTGTTGTCTACTTTTTAAATTGAAACTTTTTAAATATATCACTTTTCTCCTTTCCCGTCCTCATTCCAACCCTTCTTCTACTTCCATTCTCTCTATGATTGATGGCCTCTTTCTTCTTATTATTACATATATATATATACATATGCATATATGCATATGTATATAAATATAATTTGCTGAGTCTGTTTTGTGATATATATAAATATAAATTGTGATATATATAAAACTTGGGGGCTGACTGTTTTATATTAGATTACCTATTAAGGACCTCATCTCTGGGAGAGGTTACATTTCCCCTACTCAGCAGTCACTAATTGCTGTAGTTTTTTGTATATGGGTGGGACCCTCAACAACAGATACATCTCTAGCACAGTTTCTACACCTATGGCAGGGAACATTTAGAAGAGAGGACAGAAAGACTGTAAGAACAAGAGGAACAGGAAGTCATTTTCAGTTAAAAATGATAGGGAAGTGATACCATTTTTTGAACAATATGGCTGCAGGTGTTTGTGTACATGGGAATGCAGAAACCAGAGCAGGGTATCAGGTGCCTTTCAATAAGGTGTTTGACACCTTATTATCTTGAGAGAGGTTACCTTACTGAATCAGAAGCTGACCCTTTGGCCAGCCAGTGACCACTGAGAATCTACACATCTCTGCTTCGTTGCTAGGGTTACAGGCATATGTAACTGTGCCCAGTTTGTTACTTGGGTGTTGGGGATTTGAACTCAGGTACTAATGACTTCAGAGCAGGTGCTCTGAACTATCTTCTACCTTGTTTTACTGTTTTTATTTGCCCATATTTGGAATGTATAAAACTTAAATTTTATTTGAAGTAAAGAAAAAAAACTTTGAAGTAAGTTCTTGAAAGTAGGCAGCAGACTCGCACCTTTGCCTTTATACTGATGTATTCTTACAAATGAAAAGTAGGTTTAAAGAAAGGAAGGGGTATCAACAATATCTTATTTTAAACAAGCCAATGAAGTTTTGACATTGTTCGATAGGAATCTGGTCCTTTAACAGATTTTTTTTTTTTTAAAGCTGGCATTTAAGGTTATTCTCTTATATCAGGCCCTGGGTGTAGAGAGCACAGTGATTGTGTGGGATTGCTAAGTCCCTATTCAACTTAAGTATTTTGTGCATGGAATGCAGAATGGAGACTAGAAGAAAGTGTTGGTAACATAATTGTCAGATTGTAATTGCTACTCATGTACACTGAAAAATCTTTTTTCTTTTTTCTCTCTCAACAGAATATGACAGATACCTAGCATCTAGCAAAAGAATGGCAGCTGCTTATCTTGACCCAAACTTGAATCATACACCAAGTTCAAGTTCTAAGACTCACCTGGGTACTGGCATGGAACGGTCCCCTGGTGCAATGGAGCGAGTATTAAAGGTCTTTCATTATTTTGAAAGTGGCAGTGAGCCAACCACCTGGGCCAGTATTATCAGGCATGGAGATGCTACTGATGTCAGGGTAAGTATGTCTTTTTCATGACATTTTAAAATAGTTATGTTTCAGTGGCATACGACCCCCTTCCCCGCCAAAAAAAAAAAAAAAAAGAGATGAAATAGTTTTTATTTAATGTCTTAGAACTTCCCATGTTACAGAGACATTAACCTTTTCTTTCTGATATACACCAAAGGGCTAGGGATAGAGGTGGTCAGTGTTAGAGCATTTGCCTAATAGTGTGAGGCTTTGGGTTTGCTTCCCCAGTATTTGGCAGGGAGGACATTGCGAATATATGACTTCTGTTTTCTTAGGAAAATCGTCACTAGATCACATTTTAATCATGTACTGCAATTTACTTGTTTTTCCACTTAATTATTTTAGCCTTTGGAAAGGTACAAAGAACCAGTGCAATTAAGATAACTTCTGATCTAGTAAAATCAAGTGATTTTTCTAGGTGTTGTTAATTTAGGAGTGCTCCCATATCTTCAGGTAGAGTAATTTCCTTAAAAACAACATTGATTATATGATGTTTTTAAACACTATTATGTTGTAGGAATCTAAAAAGGTCTATATTTGTCAGCTTTCTATCACTGTAATGAAATTTCTGAATCAGTTAAGGTTGATTTTTGGCTCCTATTTTGAGATTCTACTAATGAAAGTGGTCCTGTTGCTTTCAGCCTTCTGGCAAGGTCACATAACATAGTAGGAGCTACCTGGTGCAAACTGCTCCATCTCTGAGTCAGGAAGAAGAGACTTTAGCCCCCCCTCAAGGATATTCTAGCTATCTGTTGATCCTAGAAGTATCCTTAACCATACTAGAAGGCACTAACCATAGCAAAGCCTCTTTAGAAGCTTTTGCCTTTATAGCATAGAATCTGTAGGGTAGAGATGTGGCCAAGTGTAGAATACTCCCCTGCATGCTGTCTGGGTGCTGGGAAACTTAAAGGTGGGTCCAGCACCCAAATGGAGGAGCTAGCACTGCAAAGGTCCCCAG